GGCTTCTCCCCGTCTTCCAAAAATTCGTGCCATCTCTTTTTGGGAGCCCTCAGGACTGCTCTGCCCTGGCAGCAGCACGCACGAAGGACGACAGCCAGCTCCACCCACGCTCGGTGTCCAAAACGAACCTGGAGAAACGGCCGGCTGCACCGAGCCTGGCTCCAAGATGTAAATGCTACCTCACTTGTCATCACACATACAAAACTCTCTTCTAAAGAAACAAGTGACTCCCCATCTCCGATAACCTTTAATAGCTGAAGGCTCACCCTTGTGTCCTCCATTATTTTCCACATCGAGGTTTACATTTCTGTGACTAAGGAGGAAGCAGCTTGGTGTCCATTACAGAAAGCTCAAGCTGTTGCAAGGTAATTTTGCTTTGCATGTTTCTATTACAGCCAAACTACAGTGCTGCACAGAGAAGACTGACCCAAATCCTGAAGTGCTAGGAGCAAGACGGAGTTTTAGCACGTTCCTCAACCCCTTGTAGCTCATTAAGTTCTTGCAGTCCCATTTCCAAGTGTTGGGTTGCATACAGATGGAGGATGGAAGTCTTCCACTACCAAGCTTAATCAGGTGCCCAGATTGGAGGACAGAGATGAAAATGGGGGGAAGGAAGCCAGGTCCACACACCAAGTGTTGTAAAATGTGAATGGGCAACTCCAGAAGTAGAATGAACTTGAAAATGAAACATTCCAGAAAAGAAGGGATAAAATATCTGTGTCCTTTGAAGAACTTGCTATACATGTGTGATGAGAGGACATGAACTCTCTCCCCAGGGTCCTGTTATGTAAAAGTGTAGGACTAGAAGGAACCTCAAGGTCTCCAAAGCAGGATTAGGTCTACCTCAGCCACCCATGACTACTGTTTTTCCAACATTGTTTTGAACTCTAACAGTAAAAGTGACTTTCCTGTTTGTTACAAGGCCAAACTGTTTATTTAACTGCAAAAATCTTTTATTATGTAAATTCATGTTGCTGTAAATTGTATAGCTCTGCCTCAATGAACACAGAGAACAATTAATCACCATTTCCATAAACACACATTACAAAGCTGTAAAGACCATTCACCGACAAACCTTTTGTTTTCCAGACTAAACTCTCCTGAAGTCTGTTTTCTTTTTGTTGCCTTTTTTTTTTTTTTAGGATTCATAATTTATTCTAGAGGTGATGTACATGCTCCCCAGACTGTACACAACACAGACCCCTACTGCCATCCATGGCATTTGGAACTTTCCACATCACTCCCATATTGCTGATCCACCTCTGGTTTGAGGGCTGCAAAAACCTCCAGATGGAGAACAGCTGCTTACACAAGCATTCCCGAGCTGGTATTTGCATTGAATCTGTCTTTACCAGTGCAGCCTTTTGCACCTACCTTTATTTAATTAGACCTTGTTAATTTCTCCCATTATAATAAAAATTATATTGGAAAATGTCTTCAACAGTTTCTAAACCATGTTTTAAATTTATTCTGCTTTCCTTCACCCACATTATACTTGTAAACATTGCATAGCACTAGTTCAAACCTCCACACTGAGGATCGTTTTGCTTTGCCAAAGAAATGGTGATCACTATTGCATGAACGCAGTTCTTCAGCCAGTTGCATATCCATCTTAGAGAAGTTTCTTATTTTATTACTGTATTTCTTATTAATTATTTCTGTAATTTATTTATGAAAACTGTAGCAACATCCAGATACATACTGTCATGTTGCCTCACTCCTATCCACCAGGTCAGCTGGAAGTTACACTGCATTACAGAAATGGAGTTTCCTTGCAGCCTCTGACTACTGCATTAGCTGAGGCTATAACCAGGAGAGAAGTTAGACACTAGAAAACACTATTCTTGGAAGTCCAGATTTACTGTTGTTGAGCTGGCAGTAGGCTGGGTTGTTGTTTTTTTAATGACAGCTGCTTGCTTCAGTGAAACATTTTAGGAAGTCCCTCTCCAGTTTTTAAAAGCCTGTAATTGCCCATCAGACTGCAGCAAGGGATATTTTTTTTTTTTTTAAAGCTTACACCAGCATTCTGAAACTTTGCTTACTGCTGCCTCTAAATTCTCAGGATTATTGTTTTGAAATATTACCACTGCATATAGTCAGCAGTTCTAAGTTTATCCCTAAGCATAATTTCCATTTTATATCTACATAATTTTATAAACAAATTAAAGAATGCTTGTTTTCATAATTACAGTATTAAAACAACTGCTAGTTGAATGCACACATCTTCATGCCTAGTCAAACCTTTGCATGCTTCCAATGTTGATTTGCAAATCATTTTCAAAAGTGTGTGCAGGGAAGACTCATGCCACTGAATATTGAAAATTCTAAAAAAATTCTCCTACTCAGCTCTCGGGATGGTTCAAAGATACAAGGAGAGTCAAACAAGATGGTCACATTATGAAAAAGTGCCACAGCAGGGAAGAGTATTACACATATTCCTTAAATACGTTAAAATAAACTTACTCCATATATATGGTATAATAATAATTTAGCTGAAAACAGCCTGTCAAGAAAGTGAAAAACAAGCTTTTGTAGCTGTGTTTAATCTTTAGCTTGTTTGAGATACCAGATACCTGCAAGTCAGGGGGAAATAGAGAAATCTCTTTCAAGTTTCCCTTCAAAAGACGAACCCAGTACCATGTAGCTGGAAGACCTAGCTTAACCTCGGTGCCTAGAAACAGCAGAAAAGGATCAGTGCTGCAAAGTTCATCCTTAAGCAACTTCCTAAGTGAAGAAACTCCCCAGAAATGATTAATTTGAAGCTGTATTCCCAGTATCTGCTAGAACGAGCTCTCCCTCTTAACCTGTATCTATCTTAGCCATCCAGGGGTTTCCCCAAGAAAAGATTTGAGTACTCCACTGCATCTCATCTCCAAATTGCTCCCCTATTATATCTATACCACTATCCATCCCCTGCAATGTGAGGATACCAGAAAGCTGTCCTGTCAGCCTGCATAACCACACCCACAGCAGCAGCTGGAATTGACAAACTGGCAAACGTAGTATTCCCAACAGGATCCTAACTGCATTAAGATGAGCAGACAATTTTGAACAAAAAAGAGGTCCCTTTGTCTCTTGTATCTGCTCATCAAAAGTTAGGAGCAGAAATGCATAGAAGCAGAAAGAGCTTGTGCTGGTAACAGAATATTCAATTGTTTGGTTTACTACACAGCAAGGTTTTGGGTTTACGTTGAAGTGTTTCCTCTTTTCCCATCAGCAAGGTTTTAAGTGCAACACTGGTTCTTATTAGTTTTTCCGGTGTCCAACCTGTTCATCATTTAAGCCCATTCCTCCTTACCAACTGATGCATTTAATACAGGTCCATTGTATATTAAAATCATTTATATTTCCACTTAGTGCTGCTTCTTCTAGGTAAGGGCACTTCAATTCCTTTGGCCTTTGAGAGTCGTACTACCAAATTAATTCAGTTTAGGCCCCTTTTATACTCAAAATTTTTCAGATTTCTATTTGGAGAGGACACCTCAACTCCTTTGGCCTTTCTCAATAGTACAGCTATGATCAATTGGAGAAAATACCAAGGAGAATAACTATACACATTATTCTTGAATTGTCATGGTCAGAAGGGATTATTTAAGGCTATAGCCTTACAGGGCAGAAGGACATGAATTCTAGTGCTTGTTATTGTTTACAGAAAACACTCCAGCTTATGATTCTGTCTGCTTTTTCTGCAGTACTGTTGCCTAGCAATCATTTCCCCCTCCTGTACCTGTTCTCAGTACCGAGTTTCATGTCTGTTTCCACACCCACTTCTTCCACTCCTCTCCAATTTATAACAATCATTTTGAATTCTAGTCCTGTCCTTGTACAGCTTAGGGTCATCTGCAGAATTAATAAATGCACTTTATATTTCTTCATTCGAATAGCCAATGGTACCAGACCTGCTGGAGACAGAGTCCAATAAAAGACTTATCACCAAGTTCATTTCCCACATCTGTGGGATCAAACCATGATAAACATTGCTGAAATTGCACACTAGAAAATGGGGCAAGTAAATTGTGAAAAATAATTTATTGTACTAATTGTAAACAGTTAGTAACCTTAATTTTATATTCAGAGATAAATGATTCCAAACACGCCTCATACAGGCAAATATTTTGTGAGCTGCTCTTTTAACAGTGTCAGCTAAAAACACCGTTGCAGATCAACATGAGCTCCAAATGGTACAAACTAAATAAAACAAGCAACTATCTTCTCTTTCCATCTCAAACAGGGCACAGCAACTCTGTTTCCCACAAGAAGCATTCACCAGGTGCATAAAGGCACCAGGTGCTGTACCATATGACAACTAAGGTACACCAGTCACTACCAGTATTCCAGTGTCACCTGTAGTTCTGGTCCCAGACATCTTGTAAGTTCAAAGGCATCCAAACAAGCACTTTGTGTTTCCTCTGACATCTACATTTTGTCATTAAAATTCACATCAGTGCTTCCCCAACTGGATCCTCTAACATCTTCTTTTCCTCTTGGGGAGAGATATTTCTGAAAGAAAATAAAGAGATTTTTCTGACAAGCTTTTCAATCAATCTTCCCTCATGGGAATGATTAAAGTAGAATTAATACTGCCCAGCAAAGGAAATGAATTAGATGAGCTCTTGAGATCCCTTCCCAACCCCCCTTCCCCATGGTTTTAAATATGAAAAAAATCTTTCTAGATTCTATAGCACACTATCATTCAAAATATCAATTAAAATTCCATTGATGAACAAAATGCTGTACTTCAAAACTTATTCAATCTTGAGAGCTTTCTGCTCCTCATGAACAAGGTTTCATTGTGAATTTGTCAAATGAAATATGCACAAAAATAAGCACGAAATACCTGAAGAGATTGCTCATGGGTACTTTTAATGCTTCAGAATTTGCTGGCAAATTCTGAGAAATGGAGAATGTTCCCAATTTCGAAATAAACTTTTTGTCTACAACAATTTGAAGGAAAAGTAAATAAAGTACAATATTAAATGCACCACTGTGCCTTCAATCTGACCATTTAAAATTTAACAAATTCACACTGTCTACAACTAAGGTGATCAGAGAATGTAATCTCATTTCAGTACTATAAGATGCTCTTTTGCTTTTAAAAAGAGCAAATATAAATGTGCTACCTTACTACAAATCTATTTTAATAGTTATTATGCTCCCTTGTATGTAATGGAAGGATATTTCGTACAATTTTACGTAGTAAATTACTCCAAAATATATACTACTCACACTCATCTATGTCATTAAAGCTTTCCAGAAGTTGTACTTAACTCTTTGCTCCCCCTTTAAGCAAACTAATTAAATTCTACTCTTTCAGGTTAAGAACCAGTACCTCTGGTTTATCAACTCTGCCTTCCTACCTACGCAAGACCATCAGTCTTAGACTGGCTAGGAACCGCCAGAGGAAATCACGCCTTTAGCTGGCCAGCTCCTTTCCCAGGAACACTACCCAGGTTTGAGACATGGCAGTAAAGCAGTACCCTCGTCTCTTCCTAGAGCACAGCTAAATAAGGTGCCTCAAGATAAAGAGTATGCTATTTTCTTTGTCCAGTGACTCTTCATGGTGCTTATGTTCTCCTCAAGCAATACTGAGAACGGATCACAAAGCTTTTGAGTTGCAAAGCAGGTCAAGATCATAGAATCATAGAATCTCTGGGTTGGAAGGGACCTTTAAAGGTCATCTAGTCCAACCCCCCTGCCATAAGCATGGACGTCTTCAAGCAGATCAGGTTGCTCAGAGCCCCATTCAACCTAGCCTTGAATGCTTCCAGGGATGTGGCATCTACCACCTCTCTGGGCAGCCTGGGCCAGTGTTTCACCACTCACATTGGGAAAAATTTCTTCCTTAGATCTAGTCTAAATCTGCCCTCTTTTAGTTTAAAACCATTACCCCCTGTCCTATCACAACAGACCCTGCTAAAATGTCTGTCCCCATCTTTCTTCCAAGCCCTCCTTAAGTACTGAAAGGCTGCACTAAGGTCTCCCCGGAGCCTTCTCTTCTCCAGGCTGAACAACCCCACTCTCTCAGCCTGTCCTCATAGGAAAGTTGTTCCATCCCTCTGATCATTTCTGTGGCCTCCTCTGGACCCACTCCAACAGGTCCATGCCTTTCCTGTGCTGAGGGCTCCAGAGCTGGACACAGCACTGCAGGTGGAGTCTCACAAGAGCGGAGCAGAGGGGCAGAATCACCACCCACAACCTGCTGGCCACGCTGTTTTGGATGTAGCCCAGGCTACCGTTGGCCTTCTGGGCTGCAAGTGCACATTGCTGGGTCATGGCCAGCTTTTCATCCACCAGTACACCCAAGTCCTTCTCAGCAGGGCTGCTCTCAATCCCTTCCTCTCCCAGCCTGGATTGATACCAGGGGTTGTCACAACCCCGGTGCAGGACCCTGTACTTGTCCTTGTTGAACTTCAAGAGGTTCACACAGGCCCATTCCTCAAGCTTGTCCAGGACCCTCTGGATGGCATCCCGTCCCTCAGGCATGACAACTGTACCACTCAGCTTGGTGTCACCTGCAAACTTGCTGATGGTGCACTCAATCCCACTGTTGATGTCATTGATGAAGATATTAAAAAGTACTGGTCCTAGTATGGACCCCTGAGGGACACCACTTGTCACCAATCTCCATCTGGACATTGAGCCGTTGACCACTGCCCTCTGGATGAGACCATCCAACTAATTCCTCAACCACCAAACAGTCCACCCATCAAATCCATCCCTCTCCAATTTAGAGAGAAGGATGTTGTGGGGGACTGTGTCAAAAGAAGACCAGATAGATGACATTGGCAGCTCTTCCTTTGTCCACTGATGTGGTCACTCCATTACAGAAGGCCACTGGGTTGGTCAGGCAGGACTTGCCCTTGGTGAAGCCATGCTGGCTGTCTCGAATCACCTCCCTGTCCTCCATGTGCCTTAGCAGAGCTTCTAGGAGGGTCTGTTCCATGACCTTCCCAGGCACAGAGGTGAGGCTGACTGATTGGTAGTTCCCAGGGTCCTCCTTGCTACCTTTTTTAAAAATAGGTACAATGTTTCCCTTTCTCCAGTCTCCAGGGACTTTACCTGACAGGGACATCATCTAACATCTCAATTTGTACTATATGCATTTGATGCCTCCATAGAGCAACTCTACCACCAGCTTTGAGAAACCTGCTTTACCATTGCTTCCATATAAAAATTGTATTATTTCTAGTAACATGAGTGATGGCAAAGTCATCCATTTTTCTGCTGAGGTTCCCAGAATCCTACCTCAACTACATCAGACAACTAATATAGCAGAGGACGCTATTAATGAATAGCTTATATTCAGTAGTATAAGTAATATATACTGTATACTGAAACGTAATCCTTGAAGCATTGCCCAGCTGAAGCTAAAGCTCGAGGGGAAACTTCTATGTCCCCTCACTTCCACAAAGGTGAAGGCAGCAAGGGCTATTCTGACCTCGAGCACAGGTTACATAAGTTCCCAAAGCTTAGATCAGCCATCTTCTGTAAGTGGGAGAATGATGGGGGTGGGGGGGTGGAAATCACTTTTCCTTAACACTGGAGCTCTTCAAGCCAGATTTATATTATAGAAGAGTAAGTCTCCTTTTAACTGGGTCAGTTTTAACTCTGAACTCACTATAATGAAATCTATGTAGAAAAAACATGACTCGGGATTTTGCCACCACGTGTGTTGTCATAACAAAAGTCTAAGAGCAAAGCTTCAATTTTCATGCAAGAATTTACAGGCTAAAAACTAACCTAGCTGTTGCAAAGCAGCAGCATAATGGTCCAAAACATCAGCTTTAGTTTCAGAAAAATAGAGTATAATGGAAAAACCAAGTCACCAGTCTGTTAGAATTTCAATCACTGTACCTTCTTCATCTGAGTTATCTTCTTCTGTGATTACAGGCATCCCAATATGCCGAGTAACAGTTTCCTTTGCCACTTGCATTTCACCTGCAGATAGATAGATTTTTATTTTTTTTAGGAAAAACTGTCAGGTTTTTTTTGCTTCTACATCTCAAGTCCAGCAGTTAGAAGATTGTTCACTTGCTGCTCTCTTGGACTTTCTAGTCAAAAGCTGTGAACAAACACCTACATTTCTCAGTACCTTCATATAGTTCACTAAAGAAACCTTCAGTAACAAGTAATTAACACTACAAGTTTAAAGCATACTAATCACCAACTCAGTCCAGAGATAATTCAAAATGCCCTTATTCCTCTTCAACACTTCATCTACTGTTTTAAAGTGATGCAAAGGCAACACTGCCCAGTGCTGACCTCTGAAGAAGGATGAATTGTCTCAGTAACATTTTTTCAGCAGAAGCTAAGTCAGTCAGAAAATAGAGTTTGGAACTTCGAAATTAATTCCCTCTCTTCAAAATAAAGTTCATTTAAAACTATTTTGCTGTTCGATTTCATTTAACTTTTAATAAATAATAACTAAATTAAAAACTTAAATGCCAGAGCAACTTCTATCAGTTTAAAAGTTGGATATCAGAAAGGCGATTTCCTTCAGAAAAGTAATTTGCCATGTTTTCAGAACTAGGAAACAAAGAGATCTAAAGAGACAAAACAAACAAAAAAAAAAGTATAAGCTTTTTTTTTGCAGGAATGTGCAAATGCCTAGAAAGTAAAACTGCAGATAACATAAATGCTATGATAGTAAAATAACTAACTAAATCAGTAACTGGTCAGTTCATCTATGCCAAAGATGAGCAACACTAGACAGGATCTCTCCAACAGAGACCTGAAATAGATAGCTGATCTCCTTTTCCTTCCTCACCTCCTCTTTTGACCTAGCAAAGTACCCTCACACCAGGTCTTACAGAATCAAAGAATAGTTTGGGTTGGAAGGTTTACAGGCCATCTAGTCCAACCCCCCTGCAGTGAGCAGGGACAGCTTCAACTAGACCAGCTTGCTCAGAGCCCCGTCCAACCTGACCTGGAATGTTTCCAGGGATGGGGCATCTACCACACTTATCTCACGTCAAAATGAGTCAGTCCTCAAGTTGTGAGACTTGATCTCTTTCAGGATATATTAACATAAATGATGACAGCATACAACAAGAATCCATATAAATGGCTAATCCTGTAAGTTCTCGGTCTCGGCGTCGTATTTTCAACAAACTTCATAAATAAAAGAGATTAACTTGGCAGCTTTGGATCAGATAAGCCATTTTTTTTGAAAAAAAAATCTGATCTGAGGCAGAAAGGAGTTCCCAGTCCAATTTTCTTACTTTTAAAAACATTCACCATATCCTCACTTACTCAGTCACATTCTGTTTGTACTCTCCACAGGCATTTTTGGTCTGTAGGCAGCCTTTCTTGTTGCCCACAAAATTCTATCCTCTCCACAGTATTCAAGGGGAGATTACAGGCATTTACAGTTAACATTCCGTAATATTTCTCATTAAAAGTTTGAAGTCTTTTTCTGACTACGTTAAGCAAGGGCTTTCACTGAGCATGTACAGGGACATACCAGTGCTTCTTATATCAGCATAGATAAACCAGAAGGATATCAACGTACAAGCAGTTACAAGTATTTCCTTCCAGGGTGCATTTCAAAGTAAGAAAAAAGGTCCCAAAGACTGGACATAAGTAGTCTGTACCTGTTTTAAAAAGGTTTGCTCCTTAAAATTGTTTTTATTCCTAGCTAAAATTATAATGCTCAGGAGAAATAAAATAGAATTACAGAACAGAACCACACAAAAAAAAGTCGCAGGTGTATAAAAAACCCTCCTGTGAAGAAGGGAAAAGTTAAGTCTAGCTATAAACTAAACAAATCTAGAACTGTTATAATGTAATAATTGCAATGCTGAGTTTAAGGAAACAATTTGAAAAGAGTTTTGAAACTACATCAATTGTTGACAAAAGATTTGTATTCATATGGATGTACTAATAATTTCAGTAACAAAAGAACAAAATACATAGCAAGTATCAGATGGAAGGAGAATGACTGACGTGATAGAGCAGGTACTAGTCTTACAAATCAATCATCATCATTAAGACATCAATATAATTTTCCCTTCAGAAGTATTAGAGGATATTCCTTCAAGAGCTCAGGAACAGATGAAAGGCAAGGTTTACTTTGGATTTCATGAAGATAGTACGAACTACCAGAATTATCAGATAGGTTATTTTTCATCAAAAAGATAGCTTCAAAAATAGAAGCTATCTGTCAGAAGAAGAAACAGTTAGACACAGATCTTGATCTCCAGTATGTTCATTATATTGCAATAGGAAAAATTAAGACACTGTGTCCTGGTTTCAGCTGGGATAGAGTTAATTTTCTTCCTGGTAGCTGGTACAGTGCTGTGTTTTGGATTTGGGATGAAAATAATGTTGGTAACATGCTGATGTTTTACGTTGTTGCTAAGCAGTCAAGAACTGTCCAGCTTCTCATGCTGGCTTGCCAGCAAGCAGGCTGGGGCGGGGTCATGGGAAGCTGGGATGGGACACAGCCAGGAATATCTTCTGAGGACAAAGGAATATACCATGCCATAAAACGTCATGCCCAGTATATAAACTGGGGGAGTTGACCAGGGAGGGCACTGCTCGGGAACTGGCTGGGCAGCGGGTGGTAAGCTATTGCATTGTGCATCACTTGTTTTGTATATCCTTTTATCACTTTTTTCCCCTTCCTTTTCTGTCCTGTTAACCTGTCCTTATCTCAACCCATGAATTTTACTTTTTTTTCCCAATTCTCTCCTCCATCCCGCTGGGGAGCAGAGAGTGAGCAAACGCTGTGTGGTGTTTACCTGTCTGCCATGTTAAACCACAACAGTCCTTTCTGGCACCCAATGTGGGGCACAACGGGTTGAGGTAGCAACAGATCTGACCAGAGCACATTAGAACAAATTTGCTATAAGCATTTGTTGTATTAGTTTGATAGTCGCTGGCCACGATGATGACTTCTTTGCTCTCAAAGTTATTGTGCTTGTTCGCAGGGTTGTGTTATGGAACACCTTACTTGCTGTTTACGTCCCCCATTGTGCTGTTTATCATCTCTGGGAACTGCATCAAGGTTATAATTTTGCTCTACTTTCTAACAGTGGCTTATTATATGATAAAATGGATGGTCATTACATTAATCTGGTATCTGTACTCAGCATTGCCATCACCTCCGTACTTTGTAACCCATCTCTTGGAAACCATCAATAAATTACACTGCTTATCTTTTCTCCTCACAGAGCAAAATTTATGGGGGAGACACCTTCCCCTTCTCCTCCATGCTAGTTACAATAGCTTTTGAGAATTCTGAATATCCTTGGGATGTTCAAACTAGCATGTTCCTGTCGCTCCTACTCCTGAATGTGTTTCTGGTCTTGTTTAAAGTTAAACAGCTATTTAAGAATATCACCCAGAGATCTACCCCAAGGCTGGATAGTTACGAGTGGCAAGATGTGTGGGATAGTATGGGCAGGTACCTAGCACACACTGCCACACAGGACATGCTTTTCCAGGGTCATGACTTTCCAGAGAAAAATTATCAGGACTATGTAAGAGACTTCAGATTAACTATAAACTGCATGCATTCAAGTTGCCTTTCTGCCTGACCAGACTGTGGAAAACAGACAGAAAGGTTCAATTACGACAGGGGTATCGCAAAACATTTCTTTAATTTTCTACATCTACTAATCAACAGTAAAATTTAACTCAGCTGACGCAGCTGGCAAAGCAATAGATAAACTTTTGCAGTCTCTCCAGGTTCACAAATACAATGGAGAAATACCTTTGATATCCGAAGAACCTCTTCTTGCTGGCTGTGGTCTCCTACTGTTTTTTTTACTTCGGCTCGGAGACTTCCCATAATTCAATCCTGATTCAGAAGATTCTAATTTTACTTGACGATGTCTTCTGGATTTGGAAGCCTAGAACCCAAACATACATATGAATGATACAAAAAAGCTAAACTTTTATGGCCAGATATTACCATATGTCAACCAGTACTCTACAAGTCAGCAAGGACCAAAGCATCGACTTCCATGTCAGGGTGGAGAAAGGATGGAAGGAGAGGGAAGGAGAACTCCCACTAGTTACTGTTCTTCAGTTTTAACAGCACAACTGCCTCCTATAATTTAATGTGTCTATCACTTCAAAGTCAGGTAATGAAACATTCATTTATTTTCAAACCATTCTCTGTTAATATCAACTTACACCATGTTGCACACTGCTGTGTGCAAGCAAAAGGAACACTTCCAAAAACTGCTGCACCATAAAGCCCCCTTACTGTCATATGTTGCTTAGATGCCTAGAAAAACAGTATCACTGCATATTCATAAGTCTCAACTACTGTACATTCCCGAGGTCTGTTTCATTTAATAATGCATTTTTCAACAAGAGATTTTAATGAACAAAGTTGTGATGTTTCTCATGGGTCTGCTATAAAAAAGACAAATCAACAATATTTTTAAAGCAGCAGTTATTGAAGCTATGTTTCCAAGAACTTCCAACTGACTTTAAAGCCCCAAGTTCCATTTTCACAAGCATCTTCAGAGATGCTAACAGCTAAGCTTCAAGGAGTTTGAGCACTTAAACTCAAAAAGTATTTTTACTCCATCTACTTAAATGGAGCATAGACATTAAAAGATACCTTGTAAATTAAAATTCCGCAAGCATAAAGCATATCTGCACTGTTTCAATGAATCTAACAAGAACAGTAAGAGCTTCAGGTTTCCCCAACGTGTTAGAAAAACTAGAACATTCAAAGGTTGAATTACAGAGTACATTTTAATTCATTCCTTTCTGACCCAGCATTTACACTAAACTGTACTTTAAAGGTACTTAAAGCTGTTCTTTAAAAATAAATACATCCCTATCACCAAATTTTATGCCTACCTCAACAACTGCAGAGTAGGACCTGTATTTGATTCTAGCCAATGCATTTGCTCTTTCAGAACCCTAAAAAAAAAAAGAGATGGGTCAGAAAAAATTTTAAAATTCTATTATAGCAGTATTGAAACAAAACATCACATGAGACAGTCACTTGAGCAATATTTCACTACAGCTGTAATTCTGTAATTAGAATTAGTTCTATATAATTAGAATGCCACCAAACTTAAAGAAAAAAATGTTCACATTTCATTAGAAAAGGAGACCATAATTTTGGTTGCCTTCACCGTACAAAGCCCAGGAGGAGAAAATCAAATCTGAAACTTCACATCTTATTTCAACTTTGAGTTTGAGTAATACATGAGATAATACTGTAGCAAAAAAAATGGATATTGCATTTAGTTGCAACTCCAGGAGGAACCATAAAGGAGTCTGGCCAAGAAAATACAGCTCTTTCCCCTCCTTACTTGAAAGGGACTTTTTTTTATGAGCATCCGAGAGCTATCACAGCAGTGAACGCTCACGGCTTAACAGAAAACAATGCAATTTAAAACACAAACAAACAAAAACCAACCAGCCCCACTAGCTATTCCTGGAACTTACTTTCACACTATCAAGCCTTGGCATACACTGCTTAGCCTGTGATCTGATGTCAAAAAACTAACAGCTTTGACCTGAGCAATGTAGCAAAACAGTTCATTTTTCTTACCTCTGATTCCAGCAAAGTCCCTTCTTCCTTTTTGTCTGATATTTCATCTGTTTCTTTAGCATTTAAGAATAATTTCTGGGAAAAAAAAAATTAAATGCCTGTCGTACACAAGGCAGCTAAAATCCAAGAATTATGAAAAACAAAACAAATATTTTCACATATGCTCATTTTCTTCATCAATCTTACACTACGGCCTTTCCTTGATCCAAGAATAACCATTACACAGGTGTTTCATATGGTCATTCTAATACTGCTCATTAGTCACATCTTCCAGGGCTTACCTCTCAGCAATCATTTATGTTATCACAGAGGCAGTACCACACACGAGACCATGTCCCTTCCCCATACCATAACTCTGCCTAGGGTTTTACTCATTCCGTATCTTCAGTGTTACGGTTCCTTCTACTTAAGTCTGAGATTTACAGAGTAAATATACCAAGAGTAATTATACCAAGAAAGAGAGTCCTTACATTTTCACATGCTCTGTTAAGTTGCCACAGCACAATGGTTGATATTACCTACCATTCTATTCTGCTGCCATTCCTGATGTTCCAAAGTTATATCTTTAAGAGTAACTACAAATTCATCTTTTATCAAGCTCAGTGCCTTGTCTGGCTGGGATTTGTCAGCTGAAATGACACACTTCATTTTCTGGTAGTGGTCATGAATATTCATCAGTTCCTAAAATAAAAAAGATACTTTTCAGGGAAGAAGAAAAAAAAAGATTACAGCAGTAAAGCAGTATTAGTGCTCAATGAACAAAATCAGGGTTATACAAAGCATTCTAAGGAGACCATGGAACTAGCAGGAGAGTTAGAAACAGATTCCGTTTAGATCAGTTCACTTTTAGGGAGCCTAGCAATACTGCTACCTAGCACTGTCCCATCAGTCCACCAAATAAGCAAAAGAAGAAAGAGTATCTTGCATATTTAAACTAAGAAGGAAGTCTTGCTGATACTCAGAATCAGTGCTCACAGAGGCCTCATTCTGATATGGTGGTCTATCTTCATCTCTTTGGAGAATACATTTTACTTCCTCCTTTTGAGGAAGCAGGTCTTCTCACCCTGCCATCTCACAGATTACCAATTTTCGTACCACTGTAGTCAACCTTACTGATGATACATATTTGCTAGAAGCAGCAACTGGAAAAACCCGCAAACAGAGATCAATTACTGAGGCGTGGTGACCAATATAAGAACCTATACCCAGCTTGAATTACTCTGTTTTTTTAATAAAATGTATTACATATTAAACAAAACCGTCTCAAAAGGAGAAATAAAGGTTAAAGAAGGCTACAAACTCGCAGATAAGTAAATTCATATTACCACAAGTGTCAAGCCTCCAGCTGCCACCTGCAGACATATCAAAACAAACATGCTTCCCCTCACCCACCATTTTCCATTTTTCTCTGCCTAAGTAACAATTAACTACTTATACCCTTCCCCTTTTACATCTTACTGAGGCAAAATGACAAAACATTAGAGCATATTTCAGTATTGAAAAAGATACAATTCTTCCAAAATAAATGCTGTGTTTCTGAGTGTTCAGTAAAATTGCTTGGCACAGACTACTACCCTAGTCTGCATTCCATAAGAAGACTTCTAAGGGACAAGATTGTGCTAATTAGATAAGTCATAGCTCTTGGACAACAGAAGAAGAAAAACAAAACAAACAAACCCAGTGATTAATCTGTAGTTTAAAAGTTACTGTACCTCCAACACATCATTAGTGATAAGGCTGTTTACTCTGTTACTTGGGTCCTTAAATTCTTCTTTAAATTCATTTTCCTGAATCTTCTTCTTAGTTCGGTAGTTTAGCTAAAGCAAGAGACAATCCTTTGTAACATAAAAGCAAGCTTAAAACAGCACCTCCTCTTGAAAATTGTCACTGTATATCCAACCACCAAGGGATGCTGAAAGGCACAAAACCATCTCATCAACAGTAGCATGCGACTCTACTGTCAAGTGCTCAGAGTCAGCACTTTCCAAAAATTATTTCCTAGTTAAGAATTTAATCCAGCGCCCAGATTCAAGAGTTTGACATTTCCACAAATTATAAGACATCTCAAACCTAGTAAGAACATTAGATACTGAAAAAAACATTTTTAGGTGAGAAACATGCTACATTCAAACATCCTCTAAGCTTTACATCACATACCTAGCTAAAAAAGCAAGACATGCTACATTTCAACACAGTCTCAAAGCTAAAGTAAATACACAAGCACTGTTGAACTATCAGGCATTGAAAGCTGAAGATGTTTTATTAAAATTGGTAAGTCACTAATGTAATAACTCACTAGCTTTGGCATTGCTGTGAAATGGAATGCTCTGGCAAGTCGCAGTGTTCTAAAGACGTATGCTGCGTCATAATGCTGGGAGTCTATCAGGTCCTGTTGAAATCTCTGGATTTCAGGCCAATCCTTGAGTGCGATTCTGATCTGCAACAGAACAGTTGTATATTGTCATATCGACCTGTATATTTCAACAAATAAGAATGAATTCAGCTGACTGCTGTTATCATGTCATACTATGCACAGTACTTGGATGTCTAGGATGTTACATCACATGATCACAGAACTAGAGAAAGGATCCTACTATAACATTTGTTACTACTATCAAAATTTTATGCAATAATCTTAATATACTGTTGTGTTAAATATTCTCACTGCAGTTGGTTTCTTTGACAGTGACATGGAACACCAGCCCTCTTTATCATTTGAAGATGTTAACTCTTCACATTCTGAGATGCCTGAAACAATACACACCTAGGAGACTCCCATTCACTAGGTGATTAGGAAACAATACTCGTTCCATGATTTGCTGACAGTGAAATGTTCATAGAAGCATCTCTATCTTCTAGCTTTCCTTCCTCTCCCATGTACTCTGCCCACTTAATTTTCTCTCTAAGTTAGCTGCTTTGATAATTCCTGGACCCTCTAACAGTTCCTATATAGCAGTGGTTTTAAAATACCCTGAATTAATCTCCATGAAACTTCTTTGAAGTTAAGATACAAGATAATGGCATCACTGTAGAATACTTAAACTTCAGTTCCTTATTTATATAATTTGGAAACCGTGATGTATGTTGTGTGCATATGCGCAATCGAGTCCAAGTAAACCACTTCTCTTTGCACTGAGTTTCCAATTCCTTTATATACTGGTCTGCGTCCTAAAAGCAGCAAGAAGACATGCTATTCAGGCATTCACCCTTTCAACCTATTCACAAATTCCACTTCCACTTCTGATTAACAGGAACTTTCTTCATTCTGTTGAAATTCTTACAGAATAACTGGGGCCATAATGGAATTCTCCCCACAGCTGATGAACATATGCTCTGTTCCCATTTAAAACTAATCGTCTTCATTTTTGAACAGAGAAGAGCCTCCTATCTGGCAAACAAGATTTCCAAGCTACAGTTTAGGAGGCATAAGCAATATTTTAGTCACCAACACATAATTTCTCAAACCCAAAGGTACCAACTGGTTCTAAATATTATTATTTTAAGAAAGCGAGAGGAAATGCCCTACCCGTTTATGACAACAAAGTAGACAAAGCTATACCACGTATCTTATGTCTAGTATCTCCTGAGAATAAAACCTCAAGAACTATTACCTTTTGTTTTGGCTGGCAAAGCTGTGTACTATAGAGCCCATACAAAAGGTACAGAGCACCAACTCGAATCTGGAAAGCGTACGGGGGCAAGAAGTACTGCTGTGCCAGTTCTAAAGTCTTCTTTGTGAGCTTATTCCTCTCCAAAGCTCTTATTCTACCACTAAAATACAAAAAAAAGGAAGCATGTTAGAGCAAGTAATTACGAAAGCGCAAGCCTTGGAAAATCCATAATGCAGAAAGAAGCTTTAGGTACTTTAAAACATACTGCCATAGGGCTCAAGTTCTGGGAAGTCTTCCAAGATGGCCGGACCTTAAGGTCTCACACAACACTGCATGTAATTCCTGGTATTAAATTAGATGTAAAGTGAAAAATTAAATACCCTACAATCGTATTTTTTAATCTCGTATCATGAGCACTGCATCAATCTCCCTGAAGCATCCGCGCTCAAATCACACGCATTGCTAATGTACAAAATAAACTGAACTAGTAACTGTTTTTCAGCAGGTTTTTTTTTCAGGACACCGGGACCGATGCTTCATTACCTTTTACCTACACACCAGCCAGGCAAACCCTTCCCAAAAGCCACGCCTGACGGGAAACACGGCGCACCAGCACCCTCCTTGAGGCCTCCCACACTACCGACGGGCAAGCTCAGCAGCGGGGGGCTGTGAACTTTGGGAGGGGGAAGACAGACTCCCCGAGGCGAGGCGAGGCTCAGTCGCCGACCACCACGCAGAGGGACGCGGAAAA